GCGCACGTAGTTGGTCAGCCAGCCAGCCAGTGTGACAGCAGGCAAAAGGAGAGGCGTACGCACGCAGAAGAGGAAGTGTGTGTGTGTGTGTGTGTGTGTGTGTGTGTGTGTGTGTGTGTGTGTGTGTGTGTTTGTGTGTCTGCTGCAAGTGCGTGCAGTGTTAACAATGCCTTCACTGGACTGTAGCTCTGCTTTCAGGCTATCCATTCCAGAATCATTTGTCTCCTGCAACGCTCCGAACTTCAAAGAAGGTCTCACTCTCCCAAAGGATTTGCAGCAGCTTATTTAAAAGTCAACAGCTGCATAAATGCAAGGGACCATTCATTCGCATCACGACTTTGATGGTGTAGAGACAGCTAAAAACACTAAACTGCATTCAGTTTGACCTGTGACCTGTAGAATTGTTGAATGATCACTATGGAAACCCTACGCAACACTGCATTCCTCTGCGTTACGTTCGTCTGCAACAAAGCATCTGGACAAGGAAAGAACATTTGACAAGTGAGGCGACTTCCTGTCAACTCTCCTTCCAATTGAGTGAGACATTGCAAAATGCACATGTTGTGAGTCTCACGGAATTGTTTCACATTAGTCCATGCGTATCCCTTCCCTTCAGATCCTGGCTGGAATGCAGGTTCCAGGGCCGTTGACCAGCACAACCTGCCAATGGCCACGAGCTACAGTCAAGTCTCTGTGACCATCGAATCCTTGGTGTGGAATGAATCTCCCTATGTCTGTAAACTACTAACCCCGATAGGACATGGTCTTACATAGCCGCCCCCCAAAACGGCTAGCTTCCTTTTGGTTTCCTGTTAAACCACACCAACACGTGGTTCCGCTAAAAAAAGGCACCCACATAGACGAGAAGTCCAATGTGAATCTTGCTCGATTCTTCGGAAGCGCCCGCCTGCGGCCTGAGCTGCCACACCAGGCCCAAGCAAACAGCAAAAGCCTGACGGGCGACTGATATCACTGATCACAAAAGACTTGAACCATAAATGGATGCCAGCTTCATCTGCAACTTTGGGGCAGCTAAGATACTACAGCGGTGCCTCAGCCTGTAGAAAGACTCAGAAAACATGAGCGACCCAGCATCTTAAAGCAATAAGTCCAAACACTACGTACTTTGAATACATCCGCATTACCCTTCTAGATGCCCCTGGCAAGCCTTGCACCCCCACCTTCAACGTTGTCCAAATCGAGGATACCCAAGGCTGGCCAACCTGCGCGAAATCCAGTGCGACGACTTGGGAGTGCCACAAGTTGAGGGGCCTCCTTTTGGGAACGTGTGGAGAGTACAGAAACGCCTTTTGACTCTGTGACTCAAAGCAACAATGGCAGCAATTCGCACATGTCTCAACAACAAGCGTGATGCACGTGCATACAACTTTGATTCCCTACAGCACCGTTATTCTGCAGGATGTCGTGTTCTCGAATGACTGGAGAGGATGAAGACAAAACACCCTTTCAAACATTTTGGCCAGTAAATGCGTTTGAGGCTTCAATCACTGCGTCGGTTCTATGTGCTCGTTTGCTATCAAACTCCGCCGTCTGAACATATTCAACATGCTATGGCAAGCTGGCTAAGGCTAAGCCAGGTAACAAACATGTCGTAGATTCTACCTGAAGGGACATTCAACCCGGTGCCATGTCACTGATTCGCAAATCAAACACTTACTGTAACACTTCAAGGGCAACTTGCCGACATACAGCCATCACAACTTCTGTGCAAACTTACTTGCCAAGACAACGGTGGGCTGAAAAATCACATTGCCCAAACCTCTTCCTTGCCCGGCTACAGAAAGAAGTTGTCGCAGGGACCCAGCCCTGCGCCTCCCTGCTGCGCGGCACGGAGTGGAACCGGCTGAGGTCCTTTGCCAAGTCCGGGCGAGTCGCCTGCACCTGCGGTTTTACGTCAGTTCGTGGATGTGTCAGGGCAAACTCATCAAGACCCCCCCCCCCCGGAGAAAAAAACAACAAACAAATAAAGAAATAAAGAAATAAAGATAGAAGTTGAACCAGCACCCACCCCCAACAACTGGCTTTTCTCATGTCCAAAATCCCAAGTAATGTCCAAAAAGCACTGGTTGGGGGGTGCTGGATGTCATTTGCCTTCGGCTTCTCCTTGAAGGGCATCCTCCAAAAAAATCCCCCCGGGTACTCCCTAGTTGAACCCACAACAAGGGAACATCTTTGTTTGACTGGCCAAGGTTGGGGCCCTTAACCTTTTCCCACTGAGTCATGGCCAAAACGGGATAGATTTTGGCGCAGCTGTGTGCACCATTGTGCACCAAGTCCGATAGGCCCCAGCCGAACGTGCGAGCAATTGGCGTGGTCAAAACCGGGGGACCGGGACAAATGGGTTCCAATTGGTTCCCCCCTCAAGCAACCCCAAAACGGGTACCGTCAAAACACACAACCGCATTTGAGCCGATGCCTTCTTCAGTGAGGTGGAGTCTGTCTGCCCCATGATGAAGTCACACCGGTACCTGTTTGCAATGCGTCACGATCTAACATTCACCACGGCGAAATTTGGTGGCGTTCCCTCCCTGCATTCTCCGTGCTCTGAGTCATCTTTGCGAGCTGAAGGAGGATAAGAGAAGGCAACAGGCATTGGGCACTGCCCCTGATCGAACTTCTTCAAGAGGGCCAACATCTCCTAGCGTGAGATCTGGTCAGGGCGAGCCTCTTGACTCATCCAAACAGTCTCAGCAAAACTGCAAACTCGCCACGCGTCACTGTGCCTCACCCCCTCTGCCGGTCCATCGTGTGACCTCCAGAGCCAAGCACCACCGCCGTTCGCAGTGGCAACGGCCTTGGAGACATGAACCTCACCGATGGTTGAACATCGCTACCCAGTTTTCCCCCTTCAAGACTCCCTCCCTCTTCCCTTCCCTTTCTCAATCTAGATGCGCAAGTCAGGGGGAGATGCCAAAGCCGCTTCGCAACAAGAGCTTGATGTGTGTTCGCCACAACACCACTGGGCGTCGCTTGTTGCGAATTGCGCACGACGTTGATCCAGTGTCTGTGGTTCCACGCCACTACTAAAGATCAAACATGAGACACTGGGTAAGACATGGTGGGTAGCCTCGAATGTGTTGACCAAGATTCGATTTGCGAGACGACTTTTGTGCGTTCACTGGTTTCTCAGAAAACGCTACAACGCCCTGGAAGCCCTTGAATAGTAGGATCTGCAGGGTTGATGGCACTAAACACCGCTGGCTAAGCTGGCGACCCATGCCAAGGTTGCCTGACACATTGGACCCTCATAGCTCTTGCCGCGTCCTCATGTCTGGCTTGTCTTGTCTTGCTTTCCAAAGGAGGTAAAACCAGCCCTGGGCCATTACACCCATAACCAAACAGCTTTTTTGAGCAAGCAAAGGAGCATGTGCCCATCACCTGTTGCACCTGAAAACCAACGCCTTCAGGACACCACGGTGGATGTTCGAATCTGGCAAACTGCGGCCGACATGCAATTGTCGGCCTCGGCGGCGTCTGCCTCTTTGAGAGACGAGAGAAGGCCCACCTTGCCACAAGCCAATGTGAGCGGTGTGCAAGAATATTCAATATCATAACTTTTTGCCATTTAGTTGCAGGTGTGATGAACAAAAGTCCTCGCGTACGTTATAACGCCTTGCATCCTTGCTTCACAAAGATGCGTTCGTTCCAGGAGGCTCCCCTGGCCCCTGACAAACAAAGGGCTATTCAATCAGGACCCAACATCGAGCAGTGCCAGCAAGCGTGGATTCAGGCTCTGATAAGATACAGTGCTTTTGCCTTCTGCCGTCTTTCATGAACATAGGGCGCCGGTTTGAACAAATAGCAATGTCTTAGAATCGTCTTGGGTCAGCACCACAAAAGCCGCACCAGCGGCAGCAAGAAAAGGACGAGAGCCAGCCTCAGTAAGGCATGACATCAAGACTATTGGACTGTCCAAATCATTTCACGTGGTTCCTTTGTAAAAAGCCATCCCAACAGAGTCCAACTTACTCTTGACCCACTGTCATGTGGTGCACTTCTCTAACCGAGTCAGCAGCATCATCTGCCTCTACATGGCTTTATGTGACACGTTCTGCGACTCAATCCGACGATCAATACTGATTGCTCTGGATCTAGCGTTGAGGCTTTCTGGCAATTGGGGGCTGGCGAGTTCGCGCGTTGAGTAGGAGTTGAGAATGTCGTTGTGGTGCTCCCCTGGCACGTTGTCTCTTGTCCTTCGACTTGCAAAAGCAAATGCCAAGGAACCAAGTGGGGGGGGAATTGTAATGGGTGATCGAACACTGCAAATGGCTAATCTGCCCAGGAAGAACTCACCATTGGTTTGGCACAGCGTCATGCTTGAATGTGCTGATGTTTGAGCTTATGTCGGCGACATCTTACTACTGAGGCTCAAGCACATTGATAAGGACCAGCTCAAAAACACTGCGGGGAATGACTAACCGAAGGAAAACCACACTCACACAGACATGTTCACCCATATGACCTGGAACCCACTGACATAACACATTGAGTGTGTTGCTTCAAAGGTCTACCAATCAAACATGAGCCTCTAGTTCAAAGTCTAGTAGTACTACCCCATAAAAGGCTATATTATGACATTGGTGGGTTTATGCCACACAACTAGGTGTATGAGTGTACTGTCTCAAAGGCACGACTCTGGCACAAGAACGCCTGAAATGCGATTGAACGCCTGTTCCTGATTGTGATCTTCGTTTTTCACCAAAGCGCCGCAGATCTCGTTCTGCAAACTCATGTACACCAGGGCGTGTCTCTTTTTGAGGGTATCCACGAATAAGCTTGTGCAAAGAGAAATTAACAGGAAACCGACTACTTTTTGGGTCTCTCTATTTTAAGACAAACCCACCTCGTGGTGGTAGCCGCCCGCTTTGCGGGTGGGTGAAAGCTGCATGCCACTGTCAAAGCTCAGCATTCTTCCTTCACTGAGGTATGTGTGCGTGAGTGTGTCAAATGGCTTCCTCTTGAAACTATTTAAGAGAGGGTCCTAGCCCTAACCCGGAGATTCTGGTCTCCACGAAGCCATGACAAAAAAGAACACGCAGCTGCCATTTCAGAAAGGAATCGTGTGACGCACGGCTCACTTCGCAGGCTCCCCGACACCTGGATGGCAAAAGGGTGCGCCGTATCCCTGGATTTCAGTTGCTAGGTCATGCAAGAGGAAGACCACGTTGAATAAAAACGCATTGCTTCTTTGTTAATTCACTCTCAAATCTAAGTCAATAAGCAAGAGTTCCACCTCAAGCTCTTAGGCATGTGCACAATTGAGTCTTTGCTAACACATTCAGAGAATGAATCCGCCATCCCTCATGCGCGCCATCGCCCAACTCGGCACAGAGCATAAGCCAGAAGGACCCTGGTTCTGACGCTGTGCTTTTTTTTAATGTTCCTGGCTCAAGCAAGAGAAGAAATTCAAACGCACCTCTGGCCCAGAGGTCGCTCTCTGAAGAAACGTTACCATTTGTTTGCTGGTTGAAGGGAAACTGGGGGGAAAACTAGAAAGGCCGAAAGTTCAAACGGGTACGCTAGGCCTGACAATGTTTTGCACTGGCTTCGGCCTGATCCTGGGCTGGCAAGGGGATGGGTTGAATCTTCTGGGCTCAGCGATTGTTGTTATTGTCATTCTTATTATTACGGTGGTGTCAAAGGTAAAACGCAAAGAACACCCAGTCGGCAGAGCACACATTCCGCTGCGAGTTTTCATGGTTGGATCGTTGGACCGTGTGTCTTTTTGATGCTACCCTTTCTGGGTTGGTTCTTGTTGACGGGAATCCGAAAGGAAACCCGTATCATCCGTATCCATTTTTCGGAGGCACATCCACGTCCCCCGCGCCGCTTGCCTATGGGTATCTCAACCTCCTTGGGCAGCTCTTCCTGTGCCTCACGCGAAGTCAGCCGGGGCAGGAGCAGAACAACAGTTCATTGTTCCTTTTGTTTGGTATTTTGTGTTGGTTTCGGTTTGTTTCTTGCAAAGCAAACTTTGGCCAGGAAACCATCACCCCATCTGTAGCAAACGCAATGACATGCATTGGGACAGTTGGTAGATGTGTGCGTACTGTCCAATCATCATGAGCAGAAATAGAAGTTCATCCAAATTTGTGAAGCGCAGCAACCCGAGTGTACTGTGTGATGCACTCCGCATTTTCCCGCAAAGGAATAGTATGCGGATATCAAATCTGACTTTTGCTATTATCTGTGACTGCTTTCCTGTTGGGACAATATTTTGGCCTGATCAGCATCATCAGCCAGCAGCCAGTTCTTCCGTGAGGATTGACACACCAGACTCAGAGGAAAATAAGATTGCATTCATCTACCAGGGCATTCATGTCCGGCAACCATTTGGGCATGTGTCCACATAGGGAGACCTCACCAAAATGGCGGTCTTCCTTTTCATTCGCTTCAAATCGACCCGAAAAGGGCACCAAACCCATAAAAAGAGTGTGCCAACCATCAAAGGACCATAGCCTCGCCCATCGTTCCCTGCCTCGTGGTGCTCCTCAGCCTTGCCCGCAATCGGCTCCGCGGGCTCCGCGCTCGCGGGCTCTGCGGGCTCCGCGCTCGCCGGCTCAGCTGGCGCTGGCTCAGCTGGCGCTGGCTCAGCTGGCGCGGGCGTCTCCAAGGCATCCGCAACCGGCTCAGGCGGTGCCGGGTCTGTGGGCGCCGGTTGCGGAAGCACTGGCCCTTCTGATGGCGCCGGCTGCTCGGGCGGTGACGACTCCGCGGCCGGTGGCACCTCGGTGTCAAGCTGTGGCTCCTCCTTCGGCGCCTCAGGCTGTTCTGACCGCTCGGGAACTCGTGGTTCAGCGGCAGTGCTAGCTGCAGACACCTTCGCAAAAACACGCGCGTTTCACAGGTGCTACCATGACTTAAACTTGTGAAAGGCATCGCCAACTCAAAATGCTTGCGTAAGAACCCGGGCCTCCCCAACATCGAGAAGGTTTGCTTTTGGCAAGCTCTGCTGACTTTGAAGCGGCCTCGGACGTGGAGAGCTGATGATATGGAGGTGGCTCAAAATCGGGTACGCCCCAACTCCCAGTTTGTCGAAACCAACACAACATCATCTGTGAGCGCGCCGAGTTCCAGTCTTTTCTTGTCGCCTTGGAGAAAGCATCACCTTGTGCCTAGCGTGCTCCGCACTCATGCAACAACTCAACAATGCAAGATACTATGGACAAAGCAACTCGTTGGAAAGCCATGATGCCCATGCCATCGCCAAATACCCAAGCATGCAGTCTGATGAGTGTGTATAACTCAACATGAATGCTAACTTGTATGCAATTGATAGAATTTCGATCGCGGATGTCTGATTCATAGCCACCCGGTTGGACCTTAGATTCCCGCGTAGTGTTCCGACACATTTGGTTGGACACAAGGCTGGCCCTTGTGATCAAAGTCCACTCCAGCCTCGCGCGCACGCTTCCGGTGGCAAAGCTGCCACAAATCACCACCTCCCTGCTTTCGCTTTCCATCCGCGGCGCGCCTGAGACAGCAATCTGCAACTTGCATGTGTCTGCCGGCATTTTTGCTGAGCGATTGTTTCGTTGAATTGGTGCATCTCTGCTTGGGGTCGTTCCAACTGCGCGGGGTCCTTTTTGTTCTCTTTTCTAAATTATTGAATCGGGTGGTGTGAGACCCTTAAGTTGTGTTCTTGTTAGTCATACCCAAAGCACTGTGATACTGCGGGCCAAACGAAACGCTTTTCTGGGCGCCGAACGCCTTATTGACGATCCCGCGGGGCGCTTCCTCTCCCTCTCCTGAGCAGATCAGCAAATCTCGAGCATTGCGGCTTTTGCCGCATTCTGTTTTGGTAGACATGTCTGCATAATGGTGATGCTGTATCCTGTATTCTCTGCTGTGTATGCTGAACACGCCTTGCATGACACAGCTTTCCATGCTGGGCCACGTGTGATATATTCTATATGGCATGATGTTTTTGAGGGTATTCAATGCGCAACGCGGCACGAGTCTTGTTACGGAGTATGTTGCGTTGGTGAAGCGGTACGCAAAGCGCACCTCCGCAGCTCCAGATTGAAATTTCCAACCATTCAACCCAAACCAGACGACAAGGCTATCCACGCAAAAATGCCAGCAAAAAGGGGGTCGCTGGCCCGGGCTGGGGTTGCGTCTGCAACTAGGTATGTAACGGCGAGGTATGTAACGAGGTATAGCACAGAAAGAGGATTCTTTCTTCCGGCTCCCCCAACTACATGTTCCATTTTTCTTCTGAATGGCAAGCTCTCTGCAAATTAACTCTTCACCACGGTTGAAAGAGCGCTCCTTCATCAACAAGGAAGGCCAAGCTCACAGTGGCCAAAGCCACGCATTTCTGATTCCGGGCACAAACAAAAAGTGATTGCTATGGGTTTGTTGGCGAGATTACCAGGGGATATTCAAAGCAAACATCCGAGCCAGGCGCACAAAAGAAAAACACGGATTACTTCCACGGATTCGGATACAGTACGTCAAAGTCAAAGTTTCAAACAAGTGAGATTTGCCCTCTGAAGATCCTTGTGCATGCTGATGCCGGCATATGACAAAGGATGACCCCACAAATGTTGGCCTCTTGGTTTCTCTTTAAGACATGTCAAAGAGTTCGTCAAAATACACACCCAACAGAAGCCCAAAGCTCCTCTCCGGACTGGGACATCTCCGAACTCTCTTCAAACCTGCCGGTAGGGCAGTAGGTTTGAAAGCAGAATCTCTGGCGTCCAAAAGTAATCGTGTTGGTGGGAATCAAACATCGGATTTGGCGAGAACTGCGATTTAATCAGCCTTTGCGAGGGTAATTTTGAGGATATGTCACTTGAATTGGCCAGCCCTCTTACGCCTCTTCTGGTCTTGCAACGTCAAGGGTCGCCAGGTTCCGCTTTGAGTTAAGACTAACGGTTCACCTCGTGCTAAAGAGTGAATTGTGAGCATTGGCTTCATGACCTGTCTGCGACGTCGGTCCTCATTTTGGCCTGCATGCTGGCGAGACCCTTGGGCTATGGCACCATCAAACAAAACCCTCTCCCAGCTCGACCTCTTCATATTTCCAAAAGCACAAAGGTGTGAGTGTTTTTGGAGGGTATTCCTTTTCTGGTGGTTTCAAAGGAACCGGCCTGCGCAAGTGCGTGCTGATCACGTCAGGCGTGAGATACCTCCGGGCCGGAGACTCCGCTCTCCCGTTGATCTTCGAGGCAATCAGCCGTGGGGATATTGACAAACAAATTTGGAAGGACGCAATGGAAACGCACACACACACACACATTATGAATTACATACAAGTCACCAGACTGTACAATTTACTTCATCCACCTGGTTGCTGCCTGGTGGAGCAAACTGAGCTCCACTTCCAGCCATCCCAAAAGGGTTCGCTGGCTTTGACTTCCCCAATCAACAAAAGATACCAGACTCCCAAGAAATTTTCCTTCCGAAACGAGATCGTTAAGTACTGCGCTTGGACTTTTCAAGACAAATTAGACCAGTCCATGGCCTCACGCGAACTAAAGGATCCTCGGAAATAAAACATATCATGCCCAAAGATTCATGGAAGTGGAGAGGAAGTCCTTTGAACAGAACCAGTCTCTCTAAATTCTCATGCCACCTTCCATGATTGTTGGACGCAGGGTAAGTGCTTGCTTGTTTTACTCCCTGTCAAAGGTCAAAGTCGCAGTGCTTCCAGGCATGACCAAGGAGAAGTGCTGCGCCTGTTCACCCGCTCCCGGCGTGCAGAAGCAAGTTGCTCCTGCAGCCAGGCAGAACGTCAGAGTGCGTTGATTTGCCACGCGCCTGGAAACACTGACTCCCAACGGATGTGCTTTGGGCTTCGAAGTCAACCATGATGAGAAGAAATGGCCACATCCTTTCAAGTACATTGGACAGGATTGCATGCTGAAACTAACCGGTGCAGGTTTTGGGGAAGTGACCTAGATAATGAGCTTACCCTGGCTGAAGGTGACCTGAATCTTCCCGCCGGCTTGCTTGGATCTGCACACTCCTTCCATGAACTCACGAGAGAAGGGGAGGCTGGGCGGTCTCATCGCAAATGGACAACAACGGGAAAAACTTAAAAAAACAAAAAAATCACTTTTGTAAATGGGCTCTTCAGCAGAAGGTCCATACCAGGAAAGCTGTTTCACCATCTTCCACCTTAGGAACGTTAGTGGGAAGAATACGAGGCGCATGACACTTGAGAAATGGCTGATCGCTTGCATTCCGTCATTCATTCTCATAGGGAGAAACCCAAAGCCCCCACCTTCCAGGAAAATCTTTTTCAGAAGGGTAGGTGTGTCTTTGTTAAGGGGACACTCCCCCTTGAGGTGTCCCCTTAAAACCACAAAAGGCGCCAACTTTCAACAAACTAACACCCGGGTTGTGATCGAAGGTGAGAGCCTTTCTGGGGTTTGAATCGACAAAAAGCTCTCAACGGGCAGGCCAACAGGCGGTCCTGCTCGTGGGCGGCTGTTTCCTGAGCGGGGAGAAATTTGCTACCCACGCTTCCCCCAAATGAAAAACAGCGCCCCTGGAGGAAACTCAATTAAAAGATGCGCGCACACGTGTGTACACGTATATACATATATGAGCGACTCTTGAATCCTCTTGTGTAGGAAAACAACATTTGGTGGCGGGTATTGCTTTGTGTAACCCTATCGTTCCACTGGGTTTCGTGTGTTGTTGTATTTCGTTTGGCAGCTCCAGCTCGAAAACCGCAACTTTCCAGTACGAGCGTAGTGAAGGATATGCACTTTAACAGCTCCGGCTCGAAAGTCGCAACTTGTCAGTACAAGAGTGGTCACGGAAGTACATCAGCCAATGAATTTCTGCGCACATAAGGGTAGTCCCGTACACAAAACCATGTTTACTCGGGGTATCGCTTCTTTTTGTAACCCCATCGTTTCTGCTGACTTTTTGCATATTCTACTGTTGGTATGTCATGTCCAGCTCTTTACATATTGGTCTCCCGACGAGCCAAGGTCACACACCACAGGGAACTTATTGCGCACATCTTGGGCAAGAACATACCGTGGATGGACAACAATCTTCCTGATGATCTTGAAATCATGCGGGTCTGACCGGAAGCAGGCGTGCCTTTTGTGGTAAATAACTAAATGTCCGCCTGCGGCAATTGGAGAACTTGTTTCAGACCTCTATGAGTCTGGAGATGACCTGCTTTGAGCAAACAAGTAAGAAATAAGAACAACAGCTGACAAAAACTTCGCTTTCCCTTCGCTCTCCCGCCCCCGCCCCTCTCACCCGCCTTGGTCGCCCTCTCGCGACGATGCATCTCCGCCGCCTTCCGCGCCAACTCCCGGCGGTAGGCCTGCAGGGCTGGCTCGGGTGCCTGGGTTGTTTGGAGGGGAAGCCAAACCAAGCCACCGAGCATTTTCCAAGGCCCCCGAACAAGCCTGGCTGCCTTTCTCCGTGATTAAGGGCAACTCAGAGTGTAGTTTATGGGATCGCGAAAATAAAATGGGCCTGAGAGACTGGCTCCAACAGGTAAGATCAACTGATGAATCCGGAGGACAGCAGCTGCCCCAATGAGGAATCTGTTTCGAGGGACTCCTCGATGGGAACAAATGAGAGTTTACATTTTGCAACAAGTGGACTGCGCTTAAACTTAAACGGGTCCTTGGTGATTCGTGATGCACTCAATCAGAACAAAGCGGTTCCCAGGGCAACGAGGAGCCATGAGGGCGTCCGCCCCTCAGGCATTGTTAACTTGTAAGCAGCCGTTGACCCAGGATTGATCACCTAGCTCATTGGGTCCCATTCTACCGCCAAGTATCGTCCGCTGGCAATCAGGACATCGCCTCCACTTGCGGCAAGGACTTCTGCTGGCGCTCTTGGCGTTCCTTCGGACGGAAGGCAGACCCAAGCGACATAGAACAGGAAAAGAGGAACCAAGCTGACTGGGAACCTTTTGGTGGACATCATGCTGGCGACGAATGTCCACCCACTTTTCAGTGGATCCTCATAGCCATGTTCAAAAGACCCACGAAGGACATAGAAGGACATGGGCAGTGGATCAAATGCGGCACCCTTTGTTTTTCGCTGGATTCGTGAAAGCGGGCAGCCACACTGGGCAAGTTGGACCCTGGGCCCCCTATATCCACATTGAGCTAACCCAAAGGCAGGGAAAGACTCAAGTTGAGCATATCATATCAGTCCGACTCTCTGGGTGGTCTTTTCTGCAGGCAACAATAGCCGCGTACAGCATCTTGTCTACCCACAGCACGCCCTACAACAAGAGAACTGGTCCTAAGCGCTATATACCACAGAACAATGGAACATTATCTTCTTTTCACAAACGCATGTTTGGCGGCGTAGGCGCAGGGTGTATGTCTTGGACGGCATGCAGGGTGATGGGGACACCTGCCTTCTCCTCAAGGGCTTTAAGCTCCTCCTCTTCCTTGGCTTTCCTGCCAGGCGCATCCGGGTACAATTTCAGTTGCAAGCACAAGGTGCATTCAAATCAGCAAACCTTAAAGATGCTATCTGAGCTAGACTTCGACCCTTGCAAAAAGTGAGGCTTTGCCTAGTTGACATGGGCGATACAGGATGACCAAGAAGGCAACCAAATAAACAAGAAAGCTAATTCTGGCAATGCATCGAAGCCATTTCACCCTGAACTGAGTCATAGAAGGCCCGCCTGCGCTTCTGCCGTAAAACCTGACGAACTCTGTGTTGAGCATCTTGTTGTGGCACAAAGCTTTGCTCCTGCTTTTAGGTGCAAGCAAAATCATGCACCAGTCAACGTGCACATCGGTGAGAGGGTCATATCAGTGCAAAATACAGTCAACAGGTCTGATAATTTGACCACCCCCGGGGGGCAAGCCAGCACTCGTTGCTTCGGGCTGCTGGGATGATCGCAACGAAAGCACATGTCCTCTGCAAAATGATGCCCATGCCGAACTGGAGAAGGAGATCGCACCTGCATATTATGGCAACACATGATGTGCAAACTCGCAAGCAAGCGAAGCAATATCAACACTGGGTATCGTCTAACAAGCAGAATACACCGAAAACAACTTAGTATGAACCCTGCAGGGCCTGCTGCTGGGTCTTCTCATGATCAACAATGCTGGCAAATCACGTTAAAGTGCCTTTCACAGCTGCCTGCCTTGCTTGCCAGAATGTGCAGGTGTCACTATGCAAAGCCAGCAATCGCTCTGATCGCTTCCATGCAGAATCGACGGCCAAGTCCCTGAACGGACCATCGACTGGACATCTTGACTTCGGCGCCAATGGCTCAGAAGCTTCCCGCCTCCCGGCCAGGTCGCATGCCCCTCCCGCGCTTGGGCGCCTTGCGGATGGAAGGGCACTTAGCTACCAGCTGAAAAGGCATTTTGAGGAGTCCCATCCCATCCAACGACATTGAACCTGACTTGGCGTTCCTCCAAAACGGACCCTCTGGCGGGTTCCATGTTCGTGGACGGGACTGTATCCTCTGTGTTTCAGGGAGTGAATATCCCCCCCAAGCGGTTTGCTAGGTGGTGGCGCGAGGTGCGAGCATGCGGGTGGCCAAGCCAGCAATCAGAGGTGGGAATAGTTGGGTTTTGGATCACACCATCCATATTCTTATTGAAGGTCAATAATAGTGAGGTGCCCTTTTCAGCTTGGTTCCGGCTTTGAATCGAAACGAAAACGACCACCACACCAACGGGGGATCGTGTTTTGACACATACTTCTGAGGGTTGATTACTCATTCTCTTTAGCCGTTGTTCTTTTGGAAACCGCCCATTTGCCTGAGTTCTGGCTGTTTTCAGAGAATGATCCACAAAAGAGGGGCACGGCTAGAACAAAGTGCAAAGTAACTACTAACTGTTTACCACAACCAGGACATGTGAGCGCTCATGTGGGTTTAACGTACGCCACCCCATTTTGGCTCTTGAACGGCGCAAAAAAGCTTCCTCTTCGCCAGGCTTTTGGATTTCCACCAAAGGCTGGGTCGGGATCCCGGCAGAAGGACAGGTTCCCAGGTTCCCGGGTTCCCGGGTCCCGGGTTCCACTCTCGGGCACCTCCAGGCTTGGACTGCGGGGACTGCGCGGTGCATTCGCCCGCGGCGTCCTCGCATTCACCCGGCCTGGGGTTCGGGCTGCTTCGCCAAGCGCCGTACAAGCCAAGCTTCTCAGTCTTGGAAGCCTCCTTCCAAGTCAGCTAACTCCAAACATACCGAGAGCTCAGACCTCTTTTGATGTTCGGCAACGTAGAGTCTCCAGGGTGCAAATTTCCGGTCACTTTAAGGGGCAACTAAGGGGCCACCATCATGTCCAGGGTCCCCGAATTTCAAGACGTACCCAAATTTCATTGGTTTGTACTGCATTGTTTGGACTTTGTTCTTTCATGTGTATATATATATATATATTCCCCGCTCCCCCCAGCTTCATGTTTCATGTTGGCCTGATAAACTCGGAGGATGCATGATGGCAACGTTGCAGGACAATGGCCGAACTTGAAGCGTATGGGTGTGCGTCTTCTTTTAGGGGACCCCAACTGGTTGGCTTCCTTTGGGCACCCCCTAAAGTGACAAAAATGGGGTGCCCTCATAAAACGACGCACCCATACTTTGTCTAGTTCCCATCAAAGAATCCTGGTGATGGTCTTTAGAAGTCAGGTCGCCAGGCAGCCGCATCTTTCAACAAAATCCCTCTCGGCAGTTTTTCGCCTTCACAAGCAAGAATGTGCAAAGCACTTGGCTTCAGAACAGGCCAACAAAGTAATATTAACTTCAGATTGATCCGGAGTACTACTCTGGGGCGCTTACCCTTTTAGCAAACTACCTTACAGCTTCCTCTTCGTAGACGGGTCCTCAAGATCAATCCGAGGCTAACATGATCTGGAACAACGATTGAAATGGGCTGCAACTGATGCTCTCGCAAGAACTCGCTCATTGGGGCTGCTGCTCGGCTCGTGCTCATCTCGACCCACCTCCGGCTGTGTGTGTGTGACCCACACAACACTTTTCACGAGTCCACCATAGGCCAGGTTCAATGTCTCACTTGCACACTTGGGTGTCTTTTTGCACGCAAACAGCGTGGTTCTCCACTTGTAGCTTCCCTTTGACACCACACAAAAAAGGGTACCACCACAAACAAACACACCCACCTGGAAACAACATATTGACCTCTTGGATCCTCTTGGGTTCCCATGACGAAGCAGGCATGGCACTAAGGAGATAAGCAAAGTCCGTTCGTTCTCACTGGCCATGCCCGGCATGCTCCATCTTGCCTGCCGCAGCAAGCGGAGCTTCGGAAGTGCAACCACCGCCTGGCGCGAGATGATTGACACATATCTGTCCAGGCCAATTTAGGCCGTCGTGGAGCCTACGAGGTCACTGAGTGTTCAAATTGGGAAAGGGTCGAGATTTAATTTGGGAAAGGCGAGCTTCAGCTTGCTGTTTCACGGTGCTAAGAAAACTAGCGCGTGCGCGCCTCACTGCCGGATTTGGTCTCCTCCGTGGCCAACCAAACAACTTGCAAGAAGCCAGCCGTGTCACGGTCTCATTGCCTTGAGCCGTGTCAAGGAATTCATGCTCCTTATTTGACTGGGTTGCTGCACATACAAACGTCGTTCTTGCCAGTCAATGTCTTACAAACGGCTTTTGTGCACCACCCCCTTAGCTATGCCCTTAGCTTATGTCCTGGTCTCTGTGACCTCTGCCACCATGTAAATCAAGCTTCGGAAGCATAGCCTCGGGCTCCACATCAGCAGACATGCCAATGACCCAATCCTTGTCTTGAGTTGGTACCCCTTTTTGGATGGTTTTCACGGGAAACTAAAAGCTGAAAAACCACCGGTTTTGGGGGTTCCAACCTGAAAAAAGACACACCCATTTGCAATGATTGGATGGGTTTACTGTATCATTTTTCCCCTCTCAATCCGTTCCCTTTTCGTAGCGATCAGTGTTTCAACACCCAGCATATTTGCTGGTTGTCTGGCTTATGCACCTTTGTTCATTCAACTCTTATCCAGTGCCCCATTCACTTGCAGCATACCAGCTGAGGCCCGCACTACTGACACATCACAAATTACATCAGCTTTGCCGCGCCATCTCTGCACTCTCTGGGCCACATATACCCCATGACAAGCTATCAACAGTTCTAGCTGAACAACATCACATGCCTGCAAACATGCCTCTGCGGAAGCATGTTTTGCCCCGTGCGGCTAATCTGAAACTTGAGTCAAGGGCAGCAGCGCAGGTCAAGCAAAGTGCACCAGTCAGTTCATGGTGTCAACAAGGGTGTTGGAATCAGTGCTGACAAGGAAGCAGACAAACCCTTGCTTTCTCCCCACTCCATGCCCAGCCATGCGCTTCAGTCGAGAGCATACCTGGCTCAACCCACAAGCGCGTTGAGCTTTTTTCAAGTTGGGAAACGGCTGCAACAAATGCACAGGCGGAAATCGGGTTTGCATGATTCTTGAGCTCAGCCATGCTTCCGGATCCAACCTAGCAAAAGCACTGGAACTATCACTTGCTGGAATGCTTTTCTGCACCACATAGAAAACTTCAGGTAGACTCAAAATCATGGAACTGTGTCCCTTGGCAACGAATGGATACCGAGGCAAGGCGTGCAACATTCAGCCAGCTTCCCACAAGGGACATGCACGGGTGAGCAAAAAAAGCTCAGCTACTGGCAGCCAGCGCATGCTGTTCGGTTGACGCCCCAAGCTGCTTGCTGGCTGTGTCAAAATATCTTTGTTGCAGCAGTTTGGGGAATCACCCAAATCTTCTGAACAGTGGAGGGGCGCAAACTCCCCATGAGTTTGCTGTAGCAGCCACTGTTACCTGCTCAACCCATGAGCAAGCAGAGCAACATGCGAGTTGTGCTGATCAGAGCTACCTTGCACAACTATCTTGCCAGGCGAGACGTGAATCCCAAGGCTCAGCCACCTTGAAAGGCAAAATGATCATGGCAACAGAATCCTTGCATACTGTTGCAATTGGTGTACAGGGCCCAAAAATGCTGGAATCCCGTTACACAACACATGCAACCCAACCCTATCAGCCTCATCTGGCCCTATTTCCCCCTTTTGAGGAGGCTTTTAGAATAGGAATGGTAGCAGCCATTCAAAAAACACAACTCATGCCACACATGGCACTGACGAATTCCAGCGGTTAGCTCTTGGCTTTAGCGGCCGCCTCACGCTGAGCCGTCCACCTTAGAGTCTCGAACTTGTCTTTAGAAGGAGGCCAAAACGGCTTTCCGTGTTTTTTTGGGGGGGTGCGTTTTTGTGTGGTTTTAAAGGGAAAACCACAAGGAATCGTGAATCCCCTGAAAAACAAAACAAAGACACACACACACACACACACACGTATGGCTTCAGCAAGACATGGCAAATGATGTGCCCAATGCACAACTGGTGACCCCCTGTGATGGCCAGGTCGAGTGCTTCAACCGGTATCCTTCTGCAAATGTGCACGCAGTGTACGCAATACACAGATACGCTTGCATAGACAAATATATGCATATGTTTATATAAATATATACATATTTATAACAGCATGCATGTGAAAATAGATACATGTATATCTGTGGTGTATGTGTGTTTCTGTGCATAGAAATAGATGACATGTCCATACATGTATATATACATCATAGATGTCCACATACATATGTAATATGTATATATGTATATATGTATATATATATAATTACATTACATCTCCGGACACTGTTTGGCACCAGCGTGCCGTGGAATCATCAATAGCATGCACAAACATGTCCATGAGCTTGAGAGACCTCGGCTGCGCAAGGACTCCTCGGCCAAGTGCGTGGCCTTAGCCCCTCGTATCAGAGCGTCTGCATCTACCCTGTCGTGCAGAAAGCCAAGAGTGATCAAGCTGCAACACATGATCTCGAGTCACAGAACCACGCATGTGCACTTGAATAGTTGTTGAAGCCACCCTGTGCGCAGTAAACTTGGTCTCGCATGGTACCTTGGAATCTCAGGGCGGTAGTCCAAATGAAGCATTGACCTTGCCCCAACCCAACACACACACACAGGGATTTACAGAACCTGTTCCCAGCTCGCTTTCATGTTGCGACCGCTGCGCACTGACCATTCTGCATACACTTCGGATTCTGGGGCGCTACTTTTAGTACTGCGGCCCCTTAGGTACAAAGCCCTTCAAGATGGTGGACACCACATAGTTGGAGGGATCCCTCAAAGTCTCATGCTTGGCTGAGACCACCTCCAGCAGCTCAGAGGCGTGCCCGGAGGGGATGGTGAGAAGAGCCCTGACCGCCTCATCCGACAGCTGCAGCCCCACGGACTCCGCCCGCGCCATGCCCGGGGTCTCGATGAGCGCCGCCGCCGCCACCTCCGACTCTGCCGCGGTGAGCTCACGGATGTGGCCGGGCCGGGCCGGGGGCATGGCAGGCATGGCACCCATGGCAGGCATGGCAGCCATGCCACTGGTGGCCTCGTGGGCGTATCTGCAGGTACCCTCATACTTGCACCAGCCATGCTTGGCGAAGAACTGGCAGGTGGTGGAGTCTTCTGGCCCCGACCCACCTTTGCCTGTCGGAAATACTGGCCCAGTATACCCTACCTGACCATATTGCGCCTGCCCAGAGGCATCATGGACTGGTGTGTCTGGGCCAGCTACATGTTGATACCTGCAGGAATCTCCGTACTGGCACCAGCCAGCTTTGGCGAAGAATTTGCAAGCTTCACTGCCACGATCACGGGGAGGCCCGTCACTGAGTCCGGCGATGTGCTCGTGCTTGCAGGTGTCACCATATTTGCACCACCCGGACTTGGCAAAGAACTGGCACACCTCTCCAGACTTTGCTCCACCGCGTTCATTGCGCTCACCGCGCTCACCGCGCTCAGGCGTCTCCGTCTGCACGTGCGCGTGTCTGCATCCATCCCCCCATTTGCACCAGCCAGACTTGGCGAAGAATTGGCACGTCTGGCCCGAGGGGCCGCCAGGCCCTCCAGGCCCTGGCCCTGGCCCAGGGCCCCCAAAGCTCTCCCGCTCGTAAGGCTCGGAGCGGGGGAACTGCCGCTCGGTGGCGGGGCCGTAGGACATGGCTCTCGCGGGGAGAAGGCTCTTGGTCTTGGGCCATCAGTGTGTCCGCACGAAGAAAGCTCAAACATCTGACCAAACGAGTCAAAAGCAAGGCAAGGGATGATGTCTTGATTGCGGACAAGTCCTTGTTGCCAGGTTTTTATCCATGCCACATGTCACTTAAAAGCCTTTCTTGCTGATTCCGGACAGTTAGTCAATCCTTATCTAGTCTCGCCAATGCCCTCAACTGGCAATACAATGTCCCCCATCCGAACTGGCTACCTTAAGATTCAACAGCCAAGTTCAGCTATTCAAAGCAGACTATCTTGCACATGAGTTGCGGCAGCCTCTGACCTGTGGCAAATTGTGAAGGCGGAATCCTTTCTCCATCATTTGGCATGGTCATCCCATCGAACAATGTCCTACAGCACCTTCCACTTGCATATTAGGGATGACTTGCACTTGTTGAGGCTCCCTAAATCCCGGTCCAGTCCACAAAGAAAACCCCACATCTTGTTTGATGGTGTTTGGTAGCCCAACCTTTGCAACAAGTATCCGGCCCAATGGGACAGCTCCAAGCCAGCGAAAGGTGCACAATTTCGGAACTAGATAACTTTAACTCTCAAACATGTTGACTGAGACAGATTCAGTGCGCTCTATGTATATAGGGCTAGTCCCTACTTTGGGAATTCTACTCGGAGACCCCACAGACCACCCCAACGACCACCTGTTCTCTTGGGCTTCCAGACAAAATCTGGCATGTACTCCAACGGGGAGGCTCAAAATGGCTAGCTTCCATTTTTGTCTTCGGAAGAACAAGCTACTGTATCAAACTAGGGAGACGACAACGTGTGTGGTTTCTCTTGTGGCTTCCCTTAACCAAAGAGTACCCAGCACAACTAACACGCATACAAAGGGGGCTGGGGCGCGAACCTCAGTACCAGCGTGGATGCATGCCACGCGACGCTGCCGTGCACCTGAAAGCGAGCGCTGCAAGCGAGCTGCCAACACGTCCAAGGCTATGAGAAACGGTCAAAATCTACGTCTCTTGGTGCACATAGCAAAACCAGGGTTTTGGGCGGGACATTTTGTGAGTCGCTCGAGGTGCCTCCTACATTGACTATATAGATTGGACATGTTTTGACCGAACCCGACAAGGATTCCCTAGAAACTGTCTGGTTTCCTGTTGAGGCTCCCCTCTTTGGAATCATGACAAAAAGGCTCTTTCGGCTTGACACTTTCCCACCTATGCATTAGGCACGTGTCAAACAACCACCAAAATTCAAAAGTTAGTGCTGGCCGCTTAACGCATTTGAATCATGGCTATCCTGAAGGCCATGAACTGATTGACCATGGACAAAGACCTTGGTCAAGGATATCATAAATGCAAATGCGAATGAGGCTGTCAATGATGATTGAATCATACACCGAAACTGTCCGTGGCACATGTCAGCAAAGGTGAACGACGCCGCAGCTGGGACATGAGCCACCGGAAGCCTGTTTCTCTGGCACTCTTCCCAAGGAAGACTGCCTAGAGGTATTCAGTAGTGAAGTGTTGGCTCGCGATGGCACGTGCTTTCAATCTGTGTCGGCCCCTTAACATGCTTCAAAATATGCAGCTGACATGGCAGGTCACCTTCAGATTGAACCGCGACCTTTGTAAAACAATCTCCTGGCCGGGCCTCACGCCGCCACCACGCTTTGTTCAACTCCCCCAAGACCCTGGCGTAGCATTCGCTCGGGCGAACAAAATGCTCACACGCGCCTGGTGCATCTCTTCAGGTCAATCCTGGCAGGAGACAACCAACAGCCAAAGATAAACATCGTTTCGGGTTGCCACCAGGTCAAAAGATGGACGTTCGCAACTGAGACACCCTGCGACCTTCAGCCAGCTAAGGTGAGCAGTTCACCATCTGCAGTGTGGCTGTGCGTATGTTTGTGAAAATCAAAGCACGCGCGAAAGACTTTGTTTGCTGCGGCGCCACAAGGAGAAAGACCCATTCGGGGCTCTCATCGGCGACGACCTAGCGGTGACGACGCGTTGAGACGTGGTTGCGCCTGCCCTCCATATCCAACTTCTCCAACTCCACTAGGGCCGGCAGCGCCTTCGATGCCAAAGACTCTTGGAGGACTTTCTTCAGCCGAACAAGTGGAGATCGAATGACTCCTGTGTACACATTCCCGTTTCTGAATTGTCCTTTGTCCCCCCTCCCCCCTGCTTGTCCTACCCATTGGTAACGAACATCAGTTTGCTGAGGAAAGTTTGCTACGATCAACACGATGCCCTCTTAAAAGTCCCATATAAGTGCTCAGTGTCCAAATGTCAACCATGCAACCTTGGAACTTGACTGTAAGCCCCTGGAAGACCGGAGGACCATTTCCCTGGGTTCTATGGTGGGTGGGAGGGTAGTTCCACAATTGATTGATGTTGTCCGCATTCGTGTGCGGGCAACACAGCTGGCCCGTATGGTCATGGAACCCTCCTACTGATTTGTCACTGGGTGGTTTTCCGGTGATATTCCTTCAAAACCTCGGAAGGGTATGCTTTAAAACAAACAACAACACATACTAGTTGCCCAACACCTCTTGGGCCGATGACCATCCCAACCCCAAACAAGAATCGGGATTTCAGCCTTGGGATGGTCCGCTTTCGCTGCAGCTCGCACCGCCTGCCAAAGAAGACAGTGTAGGACGCAAGACACGCTTCTGATATTTCCGTGCTAAGCATAACCCCAGCAACAGGAAAGCTTATTTTGCCTGAGTAGCAAGCAAACATCCTGGACCACACCCTAGTTTGCGAATCCCTGACCGTATATGCCGAGCCCGCCCGATCTACGTCTTGCATATCGTTCCTGTCTATGTCCTGCCCCATCTGCAAATCCAAAAAACATGTTTCTTGAAGGATGTCTCGTCCCATCGGCATATCATTACTGTCTGTGGTCTATCCCATCTGCAAACTTCAATCAATTCATTCTGTATATATGAAACAATTCCAACAAGGTTCCATCGTTATTAAACTCTACTCAAATTCTAACTAAATTCCATGAAACTCCTCTTGGAAAAGTCATTTGTTTTGACTTATAATTCAAAACTAAAAATGTGATCCAAAACGTTTTCACCGATTACCTTCTATGTTTATACTTCAATTATGTTAACATGAGCATCATGATTGCAAGGGAATACCTCGTTTGAACTCTCAGTCTAAACTCGAAAAACATGATTTTGCCCATTAATCCTTATCCAGTTTGTTTTGACGAACAACAAAGTCCTACTTGGTCAGGAGCTTTGAAAGGCAAGGATCTTTCAAGGAGCCTTTCACAGGCAGCGCCATACACTGCCTCAGAAGGAGCTTTACAAGCAACTCTAGGGCTTGCACAAGGAGCCCTATAAGTCTTAACACGGGCTTTGCAAGGAGTGTTATACTACGCCTTACAAGCAGCTTTATACCGAGCCTTGTAAGCAGTAAAAGGAGCGTTCGAACGAGGAGCTTTACAGCGAGCATTGCAACGCGCCTTCGAGGAAGCCTCGCAAGGAAGCCTTTGGAGCTCTAATTTGACATCGAAATTCTATCTCGATTCTGTCCGTTTAAATATGAGCCCTAATATCTGCTTTTTCAAAAACCTATTTGTGGGACAATACAGCACTTGTTTCATTCGATGCCGGCCCAAAAACAACAAGACTAAATGGTTGGTTGGATTTATGTGCATGTCAGAAGAAACCAAACAATCAAGCCTTGATTGGATTGGTCTTTGGGCGGCGGAATAATGCCAAGAACATAACACATGTGGGACACTGAGCAAAATTAATGGGACAACCTTCAAAACACGAACACGATACCCAAGGGATCATCTTTGGATTCAGCCCCAAACTGTTGCTTCCCTGCAGTTGTTGTTTCGTTCGTTGGTCTTCCCTCAGTGCGCTTGTTGTGTTTTAGCAACACCTTTCCCAAATACCAAGCAACATCTTGTTGTTTCTGGCTTTTCAGCAGGCGAGGCGTCCAAAAACCAAGCAAGCCTCAACGTGTGTTTTTCCTGAACAATACATGAACTAAAACAACAACAGAGGGAACACAAAAAAAGTGTGGTCTTAAACGCATGTTTCTGCAATATAAATGCATTTGCACTTGGTTGTTTGTCGTTTTTGGTTTTCCCAGAGTGTTGTTGCTTCTTGGTTTTCCTGGGCGCTGTTTTTGCATTGTCCCTCCCAACAAGCAAAACAACCAGAGTTGCTTTGGGTTTCTGCACAGCAGTTTACACATGGTTTTCATTGTTGCACATATCAAACAGAACAACCAGTGTCTTTGGGTACAGCACGCAAGGCGCACTTGCGCAGATCCGGCTAGACAAATTGTGTTGCGTTTCAGTACCAACGTAGTAAGGAGAAATCCTCGACGTCTCTTTAAGATCACCCCCTTGCACAGCACAACGCCCAAGTCCTAAGTGGAAGTCGCATAAGACGCAAATGGGGAGGCACCTTTGACAAGGGTCACAGTGCTTTCACGGCCAACCTGCGCGGAGGCTCCTGGAAGCCTCCTGGTCAAATAATGCACAAAATGGTTTGATATGGGCTTGTCAACATACGGGCACCCCTCGGCCCCAAGTGGATTTGGTTTCCTTTGGTTTCCTTTGGTTTCCTTTGGTTTCCCTTTAACCAACCCCAACAGACAGTTTTTGTGTTGGCTTCCTTCGCGGGTGGCTTCGCGATCCTCCGCGAAGGAAACAAAGACCGAAGGAGATAAAACTGAGCTCCACGAATTTGATGACACGCCTGGTTTTTCAAACAACTGCGCAAATGTGGAGACCCTCAATGTCTATCTCTGATTAATAACCCCCCCCCACCCAACTTCCCCCCCCCCCGAATAGTGCTGACCCACAACATAACTTTATTCAGGGGTGGTTTTTTCATCATAGGTCCACAGAACCCTGCTTTCGACTCACGCATCGACGGTTCAGCCTGGAGCTGCGTCCTCAGCTCCTGGGAATGGATGGGGCCGGGCAGTGGGTATGGCTGCGTGCAAATGTGGTACCCAGCCCCTGATTTGCTTGGGGGAAGCGAAAGCGAGGTGGTTGAGACATGTTTTTGGGTGGGTATGGGATATGTTTCCTCTCTTTGCGGCCGTGCCAGGATTCTGGGAATGCTTTTGTAGGCCCACGCCCTTCCAGTCGCTGGAGCTTGACGCAGAGCCATGTCCCTATGTAAACAAATCTTCCAATAGGTTCCATGTGCAGTGATAGGGTTTTGTCGGGCTACAGACTTGCGCCTTGCATGTGTCAGAAACAGTCAAAGGTGTCCGCTCATCCGAAGTGAACCGACGCCTTTCTGAATCGAAAGATGAACCCTTCAGATTCCACTGAGGATGGCTCAAAATTGGGAACAGTCTGCTTGAAAGGGACGCCGAAAACAAAGCCAACCACCTGGATGGGTACCTGATTCTAAGATAATGTTCTCTAAACAAGTTCTTCAAACGTGACCTCCACTGTGCTAACGGATGAATCCATGTGAATCTCTGCTGCGTCATGTTGGGCACGTGCTGCCAGTCTATCCAATAGAACCCTAAAAATGAAGCCACTGCATCAGAGTTAAGTTATTTGTATCATCAATCGATCCCTTTTGGGGGGGTGGGGAGGATGGGGGCGTGCATGAACGGATTTCACTTTAGGGCACTTTGGACCAATGATAATGGCGTGCATTTTGGGAAGCTCGCTTCACTCGAGACAACATGCTTTTTCACTACATAATTTCAGGGTGGGCATGATTGCAGCTTTAAACAGCCTGGATATGAAGGGGCCTATTCGGTGAAAGTAGCTGGCCCAAAGCCCCTTTTGGAATGATGCTGTTGGTGCCAAAACTGGGAACTAAAAGCGTGAAACGGAGTTGGCAGGACAGGAGCAAACAAGCAGCGCCCGGCCGTGCAGCTAGGCACTTATTGCATTTCTGTGGAAGCCTTGGACAATCCTGCGACATTGCTTGCAATCGGTGGTTGTACTTTTGGTCCCCAACAGTACCCCCATTTAAACAAATGTGTACTAACTTCATCCGAATTCTCGCGGCACGCTCCTCAATCCGCGCAGCATCTGCCTTTTGGGCATCCGTCTGCTTCTCCCTCGGGCCTTATGCAACCGGAGCGCGCAGGCCATCCGGAGGCATCCCCAAAGGGTGATGTCGAAACACCACCAAAGCCGGCAGGTCTAGGGTGCTAGAACACATCAGATTTGTGTCGCCAGGGAAAGTGTGGGAAGAATGCTGGGGGATTGTCAGGGTCAGCCATTGACTGCCAACCATTGCATGCGTTATCAAGTTTGATGCGTCCTAGAACCCCTTTGTTCGAAGCCCTTTAGTGCCCCACGTGAACATACCGTTAAGTTTGGGAATCCCGAGTTGAGTCAATGAATTGATGACAAGGACGGGTTGCGCTCCGGAAAGGCAAGACTATGATGCACCTTGGCAGCTAACACGTGGACCCCTCATACCCTCCGGAAAAAATATGGCAACTCAAAACGATTGATTGCAACTCCCACTGAATATACAAGTTCATGAACAACCACCACAACCTTGAGCCACGCGTTTCAACCAAGCTGCAACACGAAACCCGTGGGACCTGAGCCACCGGACGTTTTAAGCTCGCTGGCCCTGGCTGCTTCTTTGGTCTGGAGCTGCTGGAGCTGCTGGAACTCGAACTGGGTGCACTTGATCTCTTCTCTGCAAAGCGAGCAACACAACTCTGACACGCCCCTTTGGTTCCGACTCCGAGCTGGACGAAGAACTTGTGGAGCTACAACTCAGCCTTGGACGTCCCACCAAACCCAAGCCAAACGGCTAATGGAATCTGACGGGAGGCATGAGACTGATGAGACTGGCCAGCTACTTGACGTGGGATGTGCAAATCAGACTTGCAGCAAGTCTACCCTTCAGCCGAGCTGCGGCGATGGAGGTGGCACCGCTGCCTTCTTGAAGAATGGCCTGACATGGCCCGCTCGACCACATGAAAAGGGAATCTGGGCGCCCCTAGAAATTCTAGGAACCGTCCTTTCTTGGCCCAAGCAGGCACTTGCGCAAGCAATCAGTCACGCGAATCATGCCTTGGGAAACACACACACACACATTGGATCAAAATGCAACGATCTGCTTTGACTGAAGAAGACTTAGGCCATCTGTCCCTCGGCCGCCCAGCCTCAAAGGACTCCTTTGTACCTCTCAAGGGCAGCCGGTCAGAATCAAAGTCTCTGTCTGCACAACGCCTTGTTTAAAAGCCTGACATGCCCTGGCCTCAGCATTCGCTTTGGCGTTGTCTTTCGGCGCCTTGGGCGCCTTGGGAGCCTTCGTCTTGGGCGCTTTGGGCGCCTTCGTCTTGGGCGCGTTGGGCGCCTTCGTCTTGAGCGCTTTGGACGTTCAGACATGTTTCGGTGACAGTTTGTATTCCTAAACCTTGACCTCTTGCTAGAAAAAGCCATTTGCTTTTTACCCAGGCAAGCTTAAGAGTGCAGGCGTTGGCCATTTGGACAAAACAACCCGACCAATTTTACAAAAACAACAACTGGTAGCTGAGGAGCCCACGCATCTTGACCATTTCTGCAAGTTTTTCTCTGGAGGAAAGCTGTTGTGTCTGAAAATGACATCCAGCTCTTGATTGCAACAAGGTGAGTCAATCTAGAAATGAACTATAGGTAGGGAATGCTACAGAATATGGGGATGAGTGAGACAAACCACGTTTGTAGAGCCGCCTCCTATCTAGTGCCTTTCCCGCCAGCCTTTACCATTTTGAACCACGGCAACTATTAGAACAGCTTTGGGCCCCGCCGGAAGATACCCCAAACCAGATTCGGAAGGGGCATATGCACTATAGTACATATCATAGGACCATTGGACTAGTAAACCCCGAATTGTTATCCCATGGAGTTGTTCCGAAGTCCCCGCGTTTTAGGCTGAGGAAATGGTGCAAATCAGACAGATGTTTGGACAATAAAGGATAATGGGATATTAACCAAAGGGACCAACAAGTCCATTTCCAGCGACGGAACCCGTGACTTCATAATTCGTCCTAAATATCGTCTTGGTCATCGCCAGTTGACGGCACGAAGAACACGATCACACTAAACTCCAGCTCTTTTCACGATGCACTGCTCTCACCATCTGAGCCTGACTCGGACCCGGACACTTCGCGACTCCCACAGCGCCACTCATTCTGCTCAAGCATTAGAAAGGCAGCCGCGCCAATGGCCATGATCACAGGAAACCAGATCAGCGTGAATTCCACCAAGGCGGACGGGCAAAATGCTGACTCATGAGGAAGCTCAAGAAACCAGAGGCCCCGCTGAATGAGGAAGTCAGAAAATCCAACCACAGCCGGGACGCCCAATGCGTAGGTCCCGAAAATGATCCAGACTCTGGCAGCCAACACTCCCTGGTCCGGCCCCCGTTGTCTTTCAAGCAGAAAAGCTATAACCGGCAAAAGGATTGCAATGGCGGTGCAAAATATCGCCGAAGTAACCGCCTGAGTGAAACGTGCGTGGCTTTCCCCTTCTGCAGGAAAGCAGTCTGGGTTAGTGTGCAGGATGAAGAGCGCAAAGCAGTGAGCAGCACAAAGCAGCCACAGCAAAGCAGCGATGCTGGTCTTCATCACAAGGTCCGTCGTGCCCAGCCCAGCGATGTTCGAGCCAGATTGGAAAGCCCTGCGCAAGCTATCATTGTAGGCGCCAGCGTGCATCAGAATCTGGATTGCAGTTTCAACCTCATGTTCGAATCCCGAAATGGCTCCTCGAATCCGAGCTTCATCTCGTGGATTGGAGCAGGTGGCATCTTCCAGACAAGTGAAATGCAAGTTGGTGGCTTGCCTCTCCAATTCTCTGCCCTCAAGCAACTCTTCGTTGAGTTGTGCTACCCACAACACATTGAACAACCATGTTCCAAAGAAAACATAATAGTGATCGAAATGGGAAGGCACCGCAATTGACAAACCCGGCATGCTAGCCCAAGGAAACGCCGCCAAGGTCAACACAAGTATCAACATGATGTGGATTGAGCGCAAAACATGCTTGCTTGGCTCCAGCCAGTGTTGCCAATTCGCTTTTAGATTGAATCGGGGTTTGATTGCAAAGCATAGGACCGTCATCCAAAAGGAGGCCAGAAACACGGCGCAGGCCAGCTTGAACAAGAGCAGCTCTGGCAAAGGAAGCAGAACCAAAGCCACGCCTGACATAGCTCCGAGAAACATGGGAAGAACGATGGTCCTCAGAAGGGTGCTGCATCGTAGCGAAGCCCGCGGGCGCATCGGCACGATGCACGGCTTCTGATACTTGGTTCCAAGGTAGGCTTCGTACACACACCACAACCGCGTGTAGATGCTGACCGTGCTGTTTGGAATGATCAGCACATGCGACGCGCATTGCATCGCACGGGCAAAAGGACTTTCTGCTGGCGGTGCATCCAGCCACGTGCTCATGTCCAAGTTTTGGGGGTTCCCCAGCAAGCAGCAGTACAAATTGCGCCTCCGTTGCATTCGTGGCCAAGCGCGCCTGACGTGGTCGGCAAGTTCAAAAATGCCTTCGGCCCAAGCGTGAGAAACGAAGACTTCGCAGAGCAAACCATTTGGGTGCTTCATCAAAGCATAACTCATTCCACCAGCTTCTTGCGTAAGCGGTTTCACGAAATTGTCATTGACTTCGTACAGGTTGGGCCCCACGCCTTCATCTTCTAATAATCCGCAGTCACAAGGGCAAGGCAGGTTGGCAGTAGAACGACGGGCATTTGACCTGCCCTCCGCCCAACGGTCTCGCACCTCCTCTACAAAATCGAAAAACTCCGCTTTGGTAACGCACCACTTTTCAGGCGGAACCCGAAGGTGAAACTCCATGAGCAAGGTGCTGGCAGCTGCCCGATACTAGATGGTCAGAAGCGTACTACCGAGTGGATGATGTCCATTGTATTGCATACGTTGTTGAATTGTTGCGAAAAGTATTGTTGGGATTTTTTGTTTATGTAAAGGAGGCTGGTCAACATGATTGTGTTGACATCAACGTGGTGAACTTGAGGCTCTGCAAGGCTTGGTTGACCCAACATTGTTCTGTTCATATTTAAAGTCATATTTTCTCATTCTTGGTGTCACAAAGATGCTGCAGTTTGCATCCTGGGTGAAAAGTGCGTGGTAAAGTTCCATAAGGCGTGGCACTAAAACTTGAAACGCGGGTGAACGAAAGGCTAGCCTAGCCAGCCCAACAGCGACATGTCGACGACATGTACGACTTAGGAGTTGCTAAGATATCAAGACTAGCAATCCTAAATAAACATCCGAAAGACAGATTCCCCAGCTGTAAACATGGACGATATTATTGGAATATGCTCGTGCTGGGGGGAGGGGGCTGCTCTAGGTAAGGATTTGTCATTGCGAATCAGGCTTTTTAGGGGCCCTCGCCTGATTAAATCAGGCATTGTGGGAAGCTCAGCCCCCCCAAAAAAAGAAGCTAAAGCCTAGAGAACTCTCGCAAGCACAGCTATTCGCGATAAGATCCAGAGGTTTGGTTCAGTAACCCGCCCACCTGACATCTTAGACTGCTTGACATATCCCTCGAAGTATTCGGCATGTTGCACTCTAGGCAACATCAAAGACAGAGATCTTGGTGTTTGCCACGCTGGACCATCTTTAGCTATTGGTTATTGTGCCATTCATCGTGGAATAGTAACCAATAACAATACCCCCAATCACAAGAATAATCATCCTTTTCATCCAAAACCATTGTTAGTTTTACGGCACCAGTTGATGCTGGGTCACAGCCAGCATCCACAGTCAAGGCCCCCGCAAGGATTCAGAGCCAAAGCGCCAGTCAACTGGAGCAGTCAATAATCCAGCACTGGCAGAATGATGATGATAATGATGCTGATGCTGATGCTGATGATGATGATGATGATGATAATGATGCTGATGCTGATGTCGATAATGCTGGTGCTGGTGATGATGATGATGCTGATGTTGAATATTGGTCTGGTGGGCGTGCTCGCCCAAGGAAGACGCATGCTGATACGTCAGACTGCTGCATCTTCAAAATTGTCGTTTGAGTGGCTAGATTTCAGAACATTCCCGGAACCACATGCACTATGCATTCTCCCAAAATTATTCAAACACTGTTATCTCCTATGGGCATTTTGCTCCAGGGACATAAAGCGTTATGAACTAAGATATAGTTCAGTCATAACATGCATTGATCATCTTCAAACGGAGGCAGCATGAAGAACACGCTCACACTAAAATCCATTTTTTCACGATACACTGCCATCACTATCTGAGCCTGAATCGGACCCGGACACTTCTCCACGTCTTCTGCAGCGCCACTCAGGATTCTGCTCAAGCAATAGAAATGCAGCGGCACCAATGGCCATCATCACAGGAAACCATATCAGCATAAATTGCACAATGCCGGATGGGCAAAACGTAACCACATGAGGAAGCTCAAGAAACCAAAGGCCCCGCTGAATGAGGAAGTCCGAAAACTCAAGCATAGCCGGGAAGCCGAGTGCAAAACTTGCAGAAGTGATCCAGACTCTGGCAGCCAACACTCCCCGCTCTGGCCCCCGCCTTTCCAGAAGAAAAGCTATGACGGGCACAAGCACTGCAACGACGGTGCAAATGGCCACCGACATTTCGGCCTCAATGTCTCGTGGAAAGCAGTTCGGGTTATCGTGCAGGATGAAGAGCGCAAAGCAGTGAGCGGCACAAAGCAGCCACAGAAAAGCAGCGACGCTGGTCTTCACCACAAGGTCCGTCGTACCCAACCCAGCAATGTTCGAGCCAGATTGGAAAGCCCTGCGCAAGCTATCGTTGTAGGCGCCAGCTTGCATCAGAATCTGGATTGCGGTTTCAACCTCATGTTCGAATCCCGAAATGGCTCCTCGAATTCGAGCTTCGTCTTGTGGATTGGAGCAGGTGGCATCTTCCAAGCAAGTGAAGTTCAAGTTGGTGGCTTGCCTCTCCAACTCTCTGCCCTCAAGCAACTCTTCGTTGAGTTGTGTGACCCGCAAAACGTTGAATAACCACGCTGCAAAAAAAACGTAGTAGTGATCGAAGTGGGAGGGCGTCGTAAACATCTGGTACGGCATGCTAGTCCAAGGAAAAGCCGACATGGTCAATACAAGTATCAACAAAATGTGGGTTGAGCGTAAGATATGCTGGCTTGGATGAAGCCAGTGCTGGCAATGCTGTAGTAGATTGAAGGCCGGTTTGATTGCAAAACATAGAACCGTCATCCAGAAGGCGGCCATAAACCCAGCACTGGACAGCTTCATCAAAAGCAAATCTGGCAAAAAAAGAACCAAAGCCACGCTTGATATTGCGCCGAGAAATATGGGAAGAACGATGGTCCTGAGGAAACTGCTGCATTGCGCGGCAGCCCTCGGGCGCAATGGCATGATACACGTCTTCTGATACTTGGTTCCAAGGTAGGCTTCGTATACGCACCACAACCGCGTGTAGATACCGACCGTGCTGTTTGGAATGATCAGCACATGCGATGCGCATTGCATCGCGCGGGAAAAGGGACTTTCTGCCGGCGGTACATCCAGCCACGTGCTCATGTCCAAGTTTTGGGGGTTCGCGAGCAAGCAGCAGTACAAATTGTGCCTCCGTTGCATTCGTGGCCAAGCGCGCCTGACGTGGTCGGCAAGTTCGAAAACGCCTTCGGCCCAAGCGTGAGAAACGAAGACTTCGCAGAGCAAACCCTGTGGGTGCTTCATCAAAGCATAACTCATTCCACCAGCTTGTTCCGTAAGTGGTTTCACAAAATAGTCGTTGACATCGTACAGGTTGGGCCCAACGCCTTCATCTTGTAATAGCCCGCAGCATCGCTTGGAGAAAGAGGTGCCGTCACAAGGGCAAGGCAGGTTGGCAGTAGAACGACGGGCATTTGACCTGCCCTCCGCCCAACGGTCTCGCACCTCCTCCACAAAATCGAAAAACTCCGCTTTGGTAACGCACCACTTTTCAGGCGGAACCCGAAGGTGAAACTCCATGAGGAAAGTGCTGGCAGCTGCCCGATACAAGATGGTCAGAAGCGCAATCTGTCAACCAGCCATTCTGAATGCGATAGGTTAATGTCTGCAGTGTTGCATGCGTCGCTGACTTGTTGCGGAAAATCCTGTGGGAATGTTGTGTAAGAGGGTCTGATCGATATGGTGTTTATTGAAGTGACATAGTTAGTTCCAAATCAAAGCGAGATTAACTTTCAGGTTTTGACAATTTTCTCAATCTTGGGCCCACAAGGACAAGGAGGCTGTTTGCATCCGGGGTGAAAGGTGCCTGGTGAGGTATCCCTTGTGCTTCCCCAAAAGAGCTCAAGACAGTCAGCATGTTGCACTCTAGGCAACGTCAAAATCCAGCTCTGGGATAACTATGGACATCTTTAGCTATTGGCCAGTGTGCTATTGACCATGGGACATCCATAACAACACCAATAACAACACCATCATTCCAACCATCATAAACATATCAAACCAACTAGTAGACAAACATTGTTAATGGTATGTTAATGGTGACAAGCCACATACTGTGGGATGGCAACCAATGCCATGTTGCCAGCGGTTCGTATCCATCTTGGGTCACGGCCAACATCCAAGATCAAGTCGTCACTCCGAAAATCTGTTGACCATAAGCTTTCAAGGAAGAACACCCGAGAGTGATGATGATGATAACGGCGAGGAGGAACATCGGTCTGGTGTGCCCGCGGGGTAACCCCAACAAACAAAACAGTCCGCAAGAATCTGTAACTGCAGATTTCGGACAGATCTTGCCAAAATCATCCTTATTAAGGTCAATCGGCTGCACCAAGGCCCACAAATAGATTGTCCGCAACAAAAGAAAAAGCCCAAACTACTGTGTGCCGGGTCGATTCGATTGACGACAGCTCGCAGCATCCATGCTATGTCGCCCTATGTGTGTGCCTTTCTACGTCAGCCGGAAACATCAGGAGGACATGATGGGTGGACAAACCACGACAACAAGAAAAGGTCTCCCCTGGTGCCGATGTCGTGTGTGTGTGTGTGTGTCTGCATGTGAGAGGAATCTCTGTGCTTTGAGGGCACTCGTTTGAAGGTTGGTTGAAAGGGAACACAAAAGGCCAATCACCATTGAGGTCCCTTTGTCTTGACACATACCCAGAGAGAAACCCTGCGCCTTTGGCTGGCGCGGCGCCCTCTTCGGCTTTGCCTTGGGCAAGCCTCGGCGAACGAATAATTTTGCAAAGGCGCTACACGAGAATCCAAGAATCCAACACCTGAAGCGCACTACACCCAACCGCGAAAGTCCTTGCATTTTTCGTGTTTTGCTCGAACGTCCGCAGCCTGCCAGTAAAAACAACGCCACGGATAGTCCCGGCAGGGTCCTTGCAACTGAGCCTTCCCCACTGGCACACGGCGCCCAAGTGTCTCCTAAAACTGATTTGTTTGAGTACCACTACGGACGCAATCCCCATGGCACATCGCATATTACAAAGCACTTAAACGCATTTTAAGCATACACGTTTAAGTACGAGTAAGAAGGCAATCCCCATGGCACATCGCATACCAGTTGGGACCAAGATGTTGCTTGACTATGTGTGTTTGCACGCCAAAAAGAAGGCAATCCCCATGGCACATCGCATGCTCAACAACACCGAAACAATTTTTGCAAAAACAAGTTCTTGCGCTAGTATGAAGGCAATCCCCATGGCACATGCATACCCAAAGGCAACCAAATGCATCTTGAAAACATCTATTCGAAGCACAGAAGTGAAGGCAACCCCCATGGCACATTGCATAATCAACCGCAATGTGTCTCCTAAGACTGTTTTGTCTGAGCGCCACTACGGACGCGATCCCCATGGCACATCGCATATTACAAGCCGCTTAATCGCATTTTAAGCATACATGTTTAAGTATGAGTAAGAAGGCAACCAGCATGGCACATCACATACTAGTTGGGACTGAAATGTTGCTTGACTATGTATGCTTGCTCGCCAAAAAGAAGGCAATCCCCATGGCGCATCGCATGCTCAACAACATCGAAACAAGTCTTGCAAAAACAAGTTCGTGTGCTAGTACGAAGGCAATCCCCATGGCACAAGCATACCCAAAAGCAACCAAACACATCTTGAACACATTTCTCGAAGCGCCAAATACAAGCAACCCCCATGGCACATCGCAGAACCAACCGCAACCGAGCAGTGTTTAAACATATATATATATGTAGTAGTAGTAGTAGTAGTAGTAGTAGTAGTAGTAGTAGTAGTAGTAGTAGTAGTAGTAGTAGTAGTAGTAGTAGTAGTAGCACAGCAGCAGCAGCAGCAGCAGGAGTAGTAGTAGTAGTAATAGTAGTAGTAGTAGCAGCAGCAGCAGCAGGAGTAGTAGTAGTAGTAGTAGTAGCAGTAGCAGTAGCAGTAGAGTAGCAGTAGTAGTAGTAGTGTAGTAGTAGTAGTAGTAGTAGTAGTAGTAGTAGTAGTAGTAGCAGAAGCAGTAGTAGTAGTAGTAGTAGTAGCAGTAGTAGTAGTAGTAGTCGTGGTGGTAGTAGTAGTAGTAGCAGCAGTAGTAGGAGGTGCCTTGTGTTAAGTTTTTGGCAAGTTTACCCAGGAAAAAAACGAGTCCAAAAACGAGTCTAAAACGAGTCCGAAAAGAAAGAAAACGTGCAGCCGCAACCCACCTAGGCCTCAGCCTGAAAAGCAGGCCGTTGAAACCAATTGATGTGTTAAGCAGACTGTCGGCCTTAGCCTAACACGTATTACAAGCACTTGTTGAGGATGACTGCGTGTGCCAATGCGATTCATGTGTTAGTTGACTGAACCTTCTCATTATCTTGGCCAGAGGCAGTGTGCCATTGCGTTTTGTGATGGGAGTGGGCCTCAACATTCAACAGCGCACCTTCGCCAAACACTCCTCAAAGTATCCGCCTCCCCATGGCACACCAGACACTTGGCTTTGTGTACAGTGGGGGGCTGGGGTAGCACTTGCGTCGCCAGCAACATCTAAGCCTGCAACTTCTATCACCTCGAATCCTACTGGCACACAGCTGAACAACACAAGGAACCAGACTCCCATGTGTTAGTTGACTGAATCTTTTCATTAAAACGGCAGCATCCTCAAAGTATCCGGTCCCCCATGGCACACCAGACACTTGGCTTTGTGTAAGCACTTGCAGTCAGCAACATCTAAGTGAAACGAGTGTACCCATGCGATTTGATTCAAAATGGCTTCATGCCACACATCATAAAAGACAGCATGATCATGACCCTAAATAGCTTTCCCCACTGGCACACTGCTTGCGGCGCGAGATCATGGCTTGCGGGGCGTGTAACCACAAGGACCCAGTAAGTGTTTTTTCAGGCGTGTGCCAATGCGATTGGCCACCCAAAATGCCTCAACATCACCAACACAAACCGCGATCGAGGGAAGGTGTTTTCCATGTGTGCCAGTGCGTTCGGCCTACCCAAAAGACCTCAACTTGATCAATGAAACCATCTCAGGGGACCACGTTCAGCATGTATTTCTCTACAAAAATGACCTCAATATCACGCAGCAATTGTCTCTTGAAAACATGCTAAACCAAACGCCACTGGCACACGGAGTTGCAACGACCCTACCGGATGCGCTTCGTGTGCGTATTACACGAAAAACATGCTGCCAAAACCAAACGCAACGACTTTCACAGGTGAGAGTAGGGACTCAGCTGAATTGTGAGTAGGTGATAACTACAGTGGCAGACAGCCCAAGCTCCAGTCCATCAGAATCATGGGCGGCAATACAGCTGAACCTAGAATAGGATGCTGTCTTCATCAAGCTTCTGCGTGGAAACAATGCACCCACACATACACACACTAAATGATGTTCGTCAAACACCCAGCATAAGAGCGTGCCTGTCCAGAGTTTGAGATGCCAGCGGAAGATGCTGGGAAAGAAGCTGTTGTGCGACGGATTCTCGTTCTTCCTGCCATTGCCGCAGCTGCAATTAGTATGAAAACCTGGCAAAATGAGACGAAACCATGCTGATGGGATGGCGACACAAAGTAGCCTGGGTCCAAAGTGATGCTCCAAGTCATACTCCAATGAACGGAATTGCCATGGACGTCTAACAGCGAGCGCAAGAACTGTGAATGGCAACACCCCAACCCCACCCCACCTCCCTTCCCACCCCGAAAAACTGAGACCGCACACGGCCTCTTAGAGGGATCCACACCAAAAACAACCCAAAGCAAACAAACAACTGCAAACTTAACTGACAAACAAAAAACAACACACGGCAAAAGAAAACAACAGCAGACTTAACTGAAGAAAACATCACACATCAGTCCATGTATACATATAGACACTGAAGAAAACTAACACACTGCAAAAACAGCCACCTGAACTAAAGAACAACCATTTGTTAGCACAAGTGCGGGTTTTCCCTTTTGCGCATCGGCTCCCGAGCATCGCCTCTGGGGGCTCGCCTGTGCCTGTAGCTCCGCACGAGTCGACGCATGGGCTCCAAATGGGGAGCCCAAAAATGGTGGTTGGTGGTCCTTGTGGTTTCCCTTTAAACCAACCCCGAAACCAACAATAAAGGACCCACCTCAAAAGTGCTTGGTGGACATGAACCCTAAATGTCCACCAAATGCACATACGTACACTTAAAACATAATAACATTTCAATACACTCTATATATATATATATGTATGTATGTATGTATGTATGTATGTATGTATGTATCTATGTATGTATGTATGTATGTATGTATGTATGTATGTATGTATGTATGTACGTGTTCTTGACCTCCCAACCCTCCGCTCTGAGTCTCATGCCTCCCGAATGGGAGACTGCGCGGGCGCGGGCTTGTTGCGACCTGCAGGACTGGCAAAGTCGGATCCGGATCCTGGATACATGAAGGTTGAGGTGTTTTTTTGCTCGCCCCCGGCTTTTTACGAGCTCACTTCACTCTTAGGTTGGGGGCAACGGGCGGCATTCTCTGGACAGGCTGGGGGTCGGGGCGGGTTGGCGATTCTGAAGATGCGGCCGCCCAACCAACCAACCAACCAACCAACCGATCAGCCAACCAGCCACCTGACCCGGGTTAAGCTAAACAAAACATTGGGTTCCAAGTATGAAACCAAATCAAAACCAGGTATTAACATGGTCTACCCACCATGCGAAGAATTGGAAGGACGGATATCCGCGCCTGTGATTGGGACTCGGGACTATCCCTTACCTTCATCTACCCGGGTTTAGATTGTCCCCTGTTGGTTGCTTGACCAATCCCGAAATGGCACCATGGCATTGTGGACGTATTCAGTGATTGACAGTCGGAACCCACATTAGCCCAAAACACACTCTGGGCGGGGTTGAACAGTTCTTCTCCTTAGGTACATCTGGGTGGGCAAATCGGCTTTTCTAAACAATTCACACGCTTGAACACACGAAGTGAAGTAGTTCAAACATATCCGCTATATCTCATTTAATCCTTAGGCGAGTCGTCCTTTCTCAGGCCAGCCAACACTCGAGGTGGACTTGTTGCCTGGTAGATGAAGGTTGACTTCCCATCAATTGCAGGAGAGTGTTGCAGTATGTTGCTGACAGCCCTCTCCTTTGAAATGCGCTTAGCACTGCTAGGTTTAAAGCAAGGATCCCAAGAAGCACCAATGACACTGGTGTCAAGGACAGATGCCAAGAACTTCCAAAGCATAGTCTCTTGACAAGAGTCACTTCCAGGCACCAATAAACCAACACCATGATGTGTATATATATATATATATGTGGGGGCTTTGCACAATTACTTCCTCGCGAAAATCGCCCTTCCGCCGCCTTCCGCGAACCTTCCGCGCCATGCAGTACAACACGCAAGTTACAATTCGGATGTGTTCAGACGCTACCTGGAGGAAGGCGCGTCCGGAGCTTTCCGAGCCGCTGGAGCTGGAGCTGCCAGATACATCAAGGATATGGACACAGACTGACTGTAAGGGCCAAGGGGGTTCTTCCGCGCCTCCGATCTTCCACGCGACTTCCGCGAAACTCCTCGTTTGTTTTTGTTGCTTCTTCTCTTGGGCCTTGCTTTCTAAGCAAACAGAGGGAACAGTGCTTGACTTGCGGCTACGTCTCCCGCTGCTTTGCCTTTGAAACAGGTCCATGGTTCAATACGTGCACATGTATGTCACTAGCCCTGGCACTTTTGCATCTCTGCCGCCGCCCTTCCGCGTCTCTTCCGCGCACACAGTGGGAAGCTCATGCCTTATAAGCCTGGAAATTCGGAATACTAGACCGAATACATCGGCATTTACTTGTACAATCAATGAACGGGTGCATAAATCCCTTCGGCAGCCTATTGTCTTTTAACAATGCCCATGTGGGCATGGCTCAAAATCCGAGTAAATCGATGAGCAGCGCGTGTCGCGCCAAAGCTCAGTGCCATCGGGCTTCCCTGGACCCTCCTCATTTGTGGGGTGAGCATGATGACCCTCTTTGGGCCTTCAAAAGGCGTTGTTTACCTATGGGTTTCTCAATACACGGGTCTCCGAAAATGGCTGGTGTCCGTTTGGTGTTCCTTTAAATACCAACCATAAGAGCATCCACCACCGGGGAAACTTCCCACGCGGTTGTGATGTTCAACACACCGTTTTGACCGCCAGTCGTGTTTGAAACAGCTTGGTGTCATGGATGTCCTTGCGCTTCCCCCAAGCTTCCGGCATGAAGGGCTCCGCGTACACCTGTCCGCTTCGGGGAGGCAACAGTTGGAGAGATCTTGAGAACCGCAGGTACCTTCTTCCAAGGGTTTGTCTCAAAAGGACAAAACCTCCCCCACCCCCAAAAACAAATTACATATATGGATATATAATATATATATATATATATGTAATGTATATATATATATATATATGTAGGTGGCTTCCATTTGGCTTCCCTTCAAACCAACCCCAAAAGTGTCTCAAAACAAGAAACACCCATAAGCTTCTTGAATGACCCCAAAGCTGAGACAGGGCGCCTAGGGATTCAGCTGTCGTGAATGCCACCGATGGCGCACCGAACCTTTCAACTGGAAACACGATCTCCCCCCCCCATCCTCAAAATGCCAAAACATATCAGAAATTGGAGGGGTGCCGAGTGTAAACGTATGTACAACTAGTTTGGAGCTCAAAGAACTGTGTACCAGGTCCCCTTCCCGCACCTGCTTGGCTCCGACAAGCGACTTCGCCTCTAGCGAGGAAGAGACAGTCGACATGTCCAGAAGGAAGGCTGAATGTGTGTAAGGTTGAAAAAGAAAGCGTCCCAATTAGAAGGGGGTTACAAAACAGGTATCCTAATGACATCCGAAGATATCCTCATGACATGTTAGAGATGAACTGCAAGCAAACACTAGTAAGTAGTGCCCAAACTTGAACTATCACCCTTATATACATGGCACCTTGAAAAAAATGAAAAACAAATCACAGTTTGCCAGCAAAGTTAAGGAATGTATCAAATCAAACCCTTTCCTTGGATTGGCACGGCAACCCAAGGAACGCGCCCATTTCAAGGGGTCGACTACTCTTTATATCGGCACCGGTGGCGCTAGGCGCCCGGCGCCAGTTGAATCAGCTTGTCCTCATGGTGCGATGTGAAATCACATTTTGACTAGGGGGCAAGCCATTTAGCTAACACCAGCAAAAAACGTCAATTTGGCGACGTGGGCTCGACTCCCTTGGGAACACTCCCAGGGAGGGGTGCCAATTGCTAGAAAGTGATGAACAACAAGGCCAAAAAGACAAACCTGGAAGAAATAGAACTCAGCCAATTTCCCAAAGCAGGGTATTCCGCTTTGCAAGTCTTGAAAGAGCATGCCCATCATATGCCCTTGTTGATAACCTCTCGACTTGTCCCAAGCGCATGGTCCTTGTCAATTGTATCGCAGGCCAGCGCGAACTTGAGACAGCATCCTTGTGTCTCCAGCCTGATGCACTGCGTGATCCCTCTGCGAAACGATGCGCAGCCCCTGCATAGCCCCACCAGCTCTGAGTTTGCTGGCCATTTTGGAAAGACGCGAGTCTGCAAAATTAGTTGGGTGAGTTTCTGTCAACCATGGGGCATCATTAGACTCAATGATGCGTGGCTGCAAAGGGTCCTTCTGTGCAGCAAATCGATTGGCATCAGGCAAGCACAGCTGAGAAGCATTGGTCAATAAAGCAACAGACTCTGGTCCCCATCGCGCCCGAAAGGCAAGTCCATCAAATGCTCCAAGCGGCCATGCGACCAAATCTCCTTTCGCAAGTCGGCTCCACTCCTGACAGCGCTGGCCATTTGTCCAAATTAGGATACCTTCTCTACGTACGTGCATTCATATGACCCTTGGTCAACAATTGCTGCATTGCTGTACCCTCTCTGGAAATGGACAAGCTGGATAGAGAGAGTCCCCTACTTTTTGTAGGCAACTTGGAGTCCCCCCCAAATGGACCAGGGACGAACGCACTTTTGCCCAAACCTCATGATATGTGGATCATTGTGAAGGATACAAACAAGATACTAACAATACACCAAACATTTGGTTTCTTTAACTGCTGACTTGGTGTTCAGGAGCCTGCGTCCCAGCAACAGCAACCTGGTAAACAATAGCCAGATTGCGTGAATCAGGGGTGGTTGGGCCTGGCTTTCATCTGTCATTGCTTTGGGTGCACGAAGGGTTGCGGATGTGTTTAATACTGCGAAGATCTACTAAGTGATCGTGGGAAGAGCCTGCAGAGCTGCGCTGCCGTCTAGCCTTTATGCCAGCTAAATGTGCGTTGCACACGCGGTACAGGGACGAGCAATTTCAAAGTTCTTTGAATGAGGAGTGACTTCGATGGCGGGAGGACGCTGTAAGGCCGCATACCCGGGGTCGCTCATCCATCCCATCCCACCCCCGGCAATCCTGCAGCCTGACTCGTCGGTCTATCTCGCCTCAGTCGCGAGATGATGTGAGTCGCAATGTTGTTTTTGGCGCGAGTCTCGCACCTTGAAGTACCGACCGCAAGCCCGAAAAGAGCGTTCTCGTACCAAGGAAACTGGGGAGAAGCTAATAAAAGAGGCCAAGTGGCACCTGTGTACCATTTATACTTTCGCCCTCCTATCAAAGATTATGAAACTTGCAATTGTGTTGATCATCGGAAGTCAGTGTCCAATAGGGATTCAGCATGCATGAGTGTGCGTGTTAAAACTATGCCATGTTGAACTACACGTATCATCCCAAAAGGGCGCTCTGCATAATGTGCGACATGACATCACGTGCGCTCAACAATCTGCACAGTCTGATAATTTAATATTTTGTGATGGCAAGGCTGATGACACAAGGGAGTGACACTAGCGGCATTCCCTGCTTTGTTGAAAGGTGCGGCGAAGACAACATCATCGTCTTTAATAGACACCCTGAGATGTGCAACAATCACCAACAATCCAATTTTTGAGCATGTTTCAGCGGGACAGCGCTGGCATTTAAAAACAAGTTGTCACGGGTGGCAGTCGGTTGGTGTCCTGAAGCAAACGAGGACAGTTAAGACTTGCGGTGAAACATCGAGGGTTAACTAATGTGGCCATGACATGGAAAAGGGAACATCCTGAAAAGTGGTCGGTGTACAAACCCTGTGTAAATGGTGTCCAAAGCTCCCCAATCAAAATTATGATCCACATAGCTGCAGCAAGAAGAAACAAAGAGACTGTGCCTTGGCAGCCATCAAAGCTCGATTTGCTGGTTATCAATGAGCACACAATACACAATTATACAGCGTGTCAGCGAGATATGAAGCTCCAGAATTGTCCACGCGCTTCTGGGAAAGAGTGGCATGCCCTGAAAAAACTTCTGCACTAGGGGAGTCTGGTGCTTTCGCGAAGTAGTTTCAAAAGAAGCGACCCCCATCTCCGCCAGCAATATAATAATAATCATCATCATTTGTCACTCAACATCAGGGTCTCCCATGAAAGAACCTTCATCATGTGGGCAACCAGTCAGCGAGATTCAGCCATGGATTCCCGAAGTACTGTGACGAACCAAGCACAAGCGGATTCCGTAGAAATTACAAGTGAACCAAGCACAACCCAGTAGGAATTGCAGGGATTGTCCTCGTTCCACGCTTGTCCTCAAGAAGATCCAAATACCCTTTTCAAAATGTCTTGGAACTTGGAATATGTTTTACCCTTCCAGACCCATCGGGAGGTACTTGCCCTTACATAGTTAGATGGTCCAGTTAGATGTACCATCTAAGCAGGGATCAAATAATCAATGTCGCATCGTCATACTCGCCTTCCGCTGCTCGAGCGATGGCCTTCAGGAGGTGCGCCCGCTCGAAGCAGCAGGTGGGCCATTCCACTCCGCAACGCTCGCACCTCGACTGTGGACAGTTGGGATGTTTGGGGCGCGTGGCAATGAGTTGGAAGGGGAATTCCCTGGAGAGTGGCTGCTGAACGTAATCCCCACCTCACCAAAAACGTCCCTAATTAAAACTCGTAGCCTGGTGCGTTTGGGGTGTTGGGGTTTTGGAGCGTGAAGCCAAACCCCGTGGAGACCTGGAGTGCTCGGCGCCGGAACAAGATGGAACATCTGACTCCGGCCACTTTAGGAAGAGGCGGACTTCCCAGTTGAATAAACAGGATCCGAATTCCCAGAAGAACATAATGTGACCACACTCACTTGCTAGCTGTCTTTTCCCGCAAATTGGACATCCCTCCTTTCAGAACAAGCTGAAGCCTTTGGGGGCCATGAAAGCACCTGCTGACGACGCGAAGGACTGAAGCAATCTGAGGCCTTGGCTTGCTCTTCAGCTCCCTAACCTTGACGGCACTTTCGATGCCTGCCTAGCTCGACGTGCTGGTTTCTTGTGGGTGGGAAAGACGGCGCTGGCGGACTTTCTGGTTGATTTGAAGGGACACCTTGCCAAAACAAAAAAAGAGGAAAGGGGTGCCACTGGGCAACTGCGGCATCTGAGGGATTGCTGCAACTGTTTTGAGGCGCGCTTTGACGGAGAAACAACGTGACACGGCTTCAAGACCTTCCATGAGCTAGAAACAAAAGTGTTTCTTGCTGGGCCAAAACCAGAAACCAAAAGGGGACACAGTTTGCGGGTGCTGGCATGTTTCCTCGTGACTCGGTTCTTCGGGCCAGCCGATGGTTCGACCTTCCGATTCCATCTCCAGAATCTGCACAAACCGCGATAGCATCCGGTGGGGATCTATCATGCCATAGTGGCACCATCCGCGCTCAGCTTCCTGTTGGGCAAATCACGCGTTGATCATTGGCTATTTGGTACCCATGGTGAAATACAAGAATCTGGTATCATCACAAGCGTGGAATCTCTTCAGTCACGTCGCTATATGCCACCATCCTTTGAATTGTCTCACTAATGTGACAAAAACGCCCCTGCATGTTTACAAACTGTATGTTACGACTCCAAACCTAGGTGTAGTGGACCCGCAATGTGCGTGTGGTGTCTCTTTGATATTATTCTAACACTGCCCCAAAAAAGGTTCACACACACACACACTCAGCGCGCACCTGCACATCAACCCTTAGCATTGGGCTCGCAATGGTCAGTGGGAAACCTGTCGCTAGGGCAAGCACTTCGAGCATTTGCAGCAGCTCGTAAATGGCGTCTGAAGCCTGTCTGGTGAGACGAGATTCTGTCACGCCAACAATCAAGGCGCACGGCATTGCATCAATATGTTCTTCATGTGCCTCATCTTTTGTCACGACAAGACCCAACCATCGAGTACAAATTTAACGACAACACTGGGTCTGGAATTGTCTCAAAAGGGTCAGATTATAAGTCTGGCCTTCTGAATGGTAAACAATGAAGGGGGAGTCTCAATTGAATAGGAGCAAAAACATGTTCTTTGACATGAGGTTCCCTGGCTGGTGCTGCTTTTCGCAGATCGCGCTTTCTCGGCCCGCGGCAGCTTGGGCTTTGGCAGGACCGGCCCGCAGGAAGTGTGCCTCGAGTCGGAAGTATAAATGTCAAAGAACATCTCCCGAATACAAAATATGGAAACTCCGTTCACATTCACACCAAACCATTGTAAGACGATGATCTCCAAAGGGTGAGTCGTCGCAGGGCATCACTTTGGTCATGACTGCAACTGCTGACCACGAAGTCTGAGGCTGGGGCATGCGCGTCTAGAGTCAGGTCATAGCTTCGGCGAGACACTGGGTTGGAGAGGATCTCGTATGCCTGAAACATGGGTATGTGCTGGGGGGATTGCGGGCAGGGAGTCTGGGAATGATCATCCAATCGCTGTCCAGAAGTTCCTCAAGCACTTCCGAAAAGGTATCAGCTTCAATCCATATCAATCAATCGTTGAAGCCCGTTTCAAGCAACATGCCAATGTCTGATGAAACCAGGCCAACCACTTTTGCTTTACCAACAACAGGCACCCTCAAAACCCATGCGACTAAGAATTGTCAAATTGGCATGGGGTGGGGGGGTCGGCCTCAGCCATTTTAGTCACGTAGAGCGTACCTGCTGCCCATGAGAAGGGTGTGCGTTCCTCTTTAGGTCTTTAGGATGGTTCAAGGGAAGAGGAACACCATTTCGCTGGGTCCCCATCGACACGTATGGCCATGGGTCAAAACCCTGTACCCCCAGTGAACATCCCAATCCCAACTGAAATAGATTAAAATGGGTTGTGCACCTACCCCAAAATGGTACCATTGGTTTTGACCCACACCCATATGGCAGTGGGTCAAAAATATGTACCCAAAATGCAACCCTGGTAAATGGAAACTTGGACTACAACCTGCGGTTTCCTGGTTGCTTAATTTTGACCCACACCCATATCAACCATCGCATATCCAGAAGATGAGGAGCTCCGTGGCCCTCCACTGCGCCTGGTTCACGCGGATGAAGCGCGCCTGGGCGTCCGGCTCGGAGCCTCGGCCAAACAGGCGCTTCTCAGACCCCGAAACTGGCAACTTCCTGTGTCCTTGCCAAACGGGGTCCGAATCTTCCTAAACTTGATTTGGTGCCCGAGGGAAAGTCATCTTTAAAACTTGTGTACTTCCAGGTGTGGGAG